TTTTTTTAGTTTAGTTAGTTTTAGCTCTTTGTGGAATGTAGGCCTAATGATGCAACATCTTTTAATATAGTTTAGAACGGCTAGGTGTTATTCAGGAAGTAGCAAATTAGCAGCATATTAAGGTCTATATATACATCTATACTGTATACATACACACGTGTATGGGGCTATGTGTGTGTGTGTGTGTGTACTACAGAAGGCTTCTTTATCAAGTGTTTGAGAGACATGAGCTCACAGTTGAGGAAAAGGCCAGGATACAAATTCTTCAGCAAGAACAGGCAGCAGTATCCCTAATGGGAACACAGGTTAACCAAGACAGAAAGGCACGAATCTCTGTGCTCATTACAGAGTCTGAAAGAATGAAGGTCATGATCGACTTATTCAGAGGTATCTTGTATGACTAGGCAAACTCACTGCAACTTAAAATGTTATAAATTTTAAGTTAATAAATGGTTGTAGTCCACTGGCACGTATCCAACTAATGACGTAAGTCATTTTATACATGATACATATGAAACAGTAGGGTCTTTTCTACAGCAACAATAACCAAATTAATGAGAATATTATCAACTGTGAAGTACTGTGTGATACTGTGAAAAACTGTGTAACAAGGTAACAGTGTCCTATAGTTTACTCCTGTAGATGAAAGTGAGTAACATATTCAAAAGCCTTGGAATGCATCACTGTAGTCTTACATTTTTATTGTCCAAATCAGCTTGCTTTACAAGAGGATGCAAAACCCATTCTTCATGCCTACAACCACATGATGTCACCTCATAGGGTAGACTGATGCTTTACTTTTTTCCATTGTGTCAGAGAATAAAATGTTTTGTTTTATGTACAACGTCTTCTCATTAATTTTTGAAATTGAGTTTAAAGGACCACAAATTCATATTGGAATATATCAAAAAGTAATCCCTTCTATTGAGCAGTATGACTAAAACCACCCAATTAATATTTAGCTTGAGCTAAATTCAGTTGTATTATTATTTAGTTATATATATTGTATTTTAAATGCATAATCATACTTGTGTTCAGTTATTTCCCAACACTGGTTGTGCATTTTAATTGCCCAAATTAAATTATANGCTGACAGTTGCTCCATGAATGTGAAAACGTATGAGAGCCTTGCAGTGATCAAGTCCACACTTAAAGCCAGGGACTGAACAGCCTCAACTATGACCATTGACACACAAGTGTGTTGCATACATAGCACCGCCACCCCTGCTCACCTCCCGGGCATGGAAAAAAGGTCAGGCTCAGGAATTTTTTTCACTATCAGCCCTGTTCCTGTGTGTAAAGCCAGTAAGTGAGCTTAGCGGCTCATCGCTAAACTGATGAATTTGGGGCTCTGCTCATTACCATGTAACTGGATTCTGGACTTTGTCACCAGCAGACTCCCAACAAGTGTGCATTGGTGGGAAGAACTCTTCCTCCATCATCACCAACACGGGCAACCCCGCAGGGCAGTGTGCTGAGCCCCCTGCTCTACTCCATCTTCACCCACGACTGCGTAACCAAGTTTCGCTCCAACTCCATCTTGAAGCTGCTGACGACACCACCGTCATTGGTCTGATCTGCAACGATGATGAGAGGGTCTACAGGGAGGAGGTCAGAGATCTTGAAGGATGCTGTCGAGATAACAACCTCACCATCAACGTTAGCAAAACCAAGTATAGTTGATCCTGGACTTTGACAAGCAGGTGACTCTCCAAAGTCCTATCTACATCGCAGAGGATGCTGTTGATCGGATCAGCAGGGTCAAGTTCCTTGGGCACACAGCTTCCGGCGGTCCAAGACATCGTCTTCACACACTGTCTCAGAAAGCAAACAGCATCTTGAGAGACTTTAGCCACCCAGCACTGTCACTTTTCACCTTCCATTCATCCATCTGCACAAGCATTTCCAGATTTAGAGACAAGATTCCTCCCCATTGCAGTAAGAATATTAACCAGCCAGTGACACTAACATTTCCTCACACTGCCACTATTACCTCATGCTGTACCGTTGCTGTGTCTGTCTATGCTGTTGCCATTACTTTAATTTTATTTATATTTTATCACTGGTGCTCTCTGTTTATACTTTTGACATTAGGGCTGCCA